TGATCTGAAATTCATTTGGAAAGGGTAGGTTCCCAGAGATACCTAAAAAGCACTTTGTTTGAATTGATGCAGGTGCCTTCACAAAGCCCCACAATTGGAGTTCAATGAAACAGTTTTCCCTTGAAAAATACAGTTGAGATCCAAATGGCTTGTGGAAAATGTGTTGCTGGGGAAAAAGTTGAAGTGAATTGTTTTGACTTTCTTATTTAATTAAGGTGACACTGAAATTTTTCATTTCAACTTTTTTATTTCAGTTTCTTTTGTTTAGACAATTACCTTCTATTAAATATTTTAATAGAGCTAATATACAACTATAATATAATACCATGTTAAATTACTGTTCTGACATTATCAAAAGGACTTTTACCATACTGAAGCAAAATGATCGGATGCTATGAAAGAAAAGCATTTTGATATTTCCAAATGGAATTTTTGTTTTGCTGGAAAATAGAAATTTTGGTTCCATTTTGGAATGAAACCAAATTTTGAAATGTCGTAATTTCTCATGGCCTGGAAATTCCATTTTTTGTCCAGCTCTGCTTGCAACCTCCAGCATTGGCAAAGAGATAAGAATGCAGATACATGGGAATGCACACATGTTGACACCCATCCATGCACGCACATGCTCTTGCATCTGAGACTGTTTTTACTTATTCATTCCAAGTTTGAACAGGCCTAGACCCAGACATTCAGGCTTTTGAGGACATTTAGATCCAGGTCTAAACCTTGCAGCTGGGGGCGGGTGACAGAACTGTCATGCCCCTGGGCAACAGCGGGAGGGACAGCGCCACAATCCTGGAAGGAATGGAGTCCTGGGTGAAAGGGCTGCACCCAGCCCCCTGCCCCAGCCAGCCCTTAGAGCCTCCTGGAGTGCACCACACGGGTCTGGTGTGGTGATTTAAAATAGCAATGGCAGCCAGGAGCCTTGGGGCCACTGCTCCTTTTGCCCCTTCTGTTGGTAGGACTGCCTGCAGCCGACCCTTATACCTTGTCATGGGCCTAACTAAAACCTTTATCTGACCTTTGAGGCCGTTGGCTCTTGGGCCTACGACTGCCAGGGGCTCAGGCACTTCTTTGAGAACGAGCTGATCTCACGCGCAGACATCAGCCAAGGTCTGGCTGCAGCAGACTGGTTGGAAATCAGAAATCCTCCTTGTCATGAAGACACTGTTCTTTTATTGAACTGGCCTCCCAGCAGAGCGACATGAAGGCAGGAACACGGATTTCTGTCAGCGGCTCATGCTTGGCTGCTAATCAGATCAGAGTAGACTAAGTCACGATTCATTACCTGCAGCCCTGTGACTAATTCTTAATGAGCTCTCACAAAGCAGCTGGAGAGGAGAGAAAAGAGCCTGAATAATTATTCGGCGAACCGCCCTCCAGATTGGGTGGATAACATTAAGGTGTCACTTTAAAGGTCACTTTGCTTTATTCAAAGGAGACCATTTCTCCCTGCCCTTGTGCCTTTCCACGAGCTATGGTTTGGCTGGTGTTGGGATTGCCCTGTGTTGTAGGATGGAAAGCTTGTGTGCTGATAATCTTGTTACCCCATAGGCTCTCACAGAACTGAGTCACATACCAGGAATGAGCATCTGTATGTCCTTTCATCCCAACCTGCAAGCCAATACCTTCGTCCTGCCCTGTCTGGGCTCTCAACCTTCCTCTTCTCTTTCTGTCAGCCATCTCCTTTCCGCTCCCTCCTGGCCACGCTCTTCTCTCTATTTCCTCTGGTCCCCCCTTTTATGCAGACCCTCACGGTCTCCCTCACCCATTTTCTCCCGCACCTCTCTCTGGGGATTATGCAAGTGGCTGTATTCAGTATTCACAGATTCTAAAGCCAGAAGGGATCTCTGTGACTGTCTAGTATGACCCACCCCCATGGCATAACACAGCCAGAGAACTCCCCCAAAATAAGCCCCAGGGGTTATCTGTGGGAAAAAAGAACATCCAAAATTGTCAGTGGTGGAGAATCCACCAAAGCCCTTGGTAAAACTTTTCAATGGTTAATTCGCACACCATTAGAAACATACGTTTTATTCCCAGTCTGAATGTATCTGGCTTAAGCACCCAGCCGCTGGATCATACAAATCCTGTCTCTGCAAGATGGAGGAGCCCTCTACTCAATATTTGTTCCATGTGTAAACCTATAGATTATAATCAACTCATTCTTTAACATTCCTTTTCTTACATTATATAGGTTGAGCTTTGAGTTTATCATTATAAACAAGGGTGACTGGTGAAGGGACACACAGGGGGCCACCAGCCCAGGGAAGGGCTAGGATGACCCCATTCTGCCCCAGTCCCTGCCTCTCTCTGCCCCCGCTCTGCTCCTTCTCTTCCCTCTCACTTCGGCCCTCAACCCCCTTCCCTAAGCAATGTAGTCTGGTGCAGGCAGCAGGGGTCTAGTCTCCCACACTCGCAGCAGCAGGGAAAGTGGAGCAATGTGGCTGAGTCACTCTGCTTCCTGTTGGTGAGGGTGGGGACAGTACCCCCCCTTTCCCAAGGGTCGTAGCTGGGAGAGCAGAGAGGTGAATGCAGGGGACCAGATCCCTGCTGCTGACACCAGCCCCTTTCCTCCTGGCTAGTTCCCTGGCCACCCAGAAGCTCTGGACCCACTAGCAGCTGGACTGCTCCTTGCCCCTTTCACCCAGAGGGATTAGGGGCATGTGCCCCTTCATGTCCCCTGGGAAAACTTACATTTTTAATCATTCTTGTGGCTCTTCAATTTATCAACACCCTTCTTCAATTGTGGCACTAGAAATGGATCCATATTCCAGCAGTGGTCACATCAATGCCCAATGCGGAGATAAAATAACCTCTCTTCTACTATACAAGATTCCCCAGTTTATGCATCCCAGGATAGCATCAGCTCTATTAGTCACTGCATCACGAGAGCTCACCTCAACTGATTATCCACCATAGCCCCCATATCTTTTTTCAGAATCATTGCTTCCCAAGATAGAGTGCCCCATTCTGTAAGCTCGGCTATATTCTTTGTTCCTAGATGAATACATGTACATTTAGGCATATAAAAATGCATATTGTTTCCTTGCATTCAGTTTACTAAGTGATCTAACTCTTTCTGTATCAGTGACTGGTCCTCTTTCTTCTACACCATTTTCCCCAATTTGTGTGTCATTATGCCCATTATGCCTCGTGGAATGAGGTTTACCGGAGCGATTGACAAAGTCCAGACTGTCCCGCTGTGCTGCCAAACAGCTGATCGGCAAAGCGGGGGCCATTTTGATGTAAATGAAGCAGCGGTTATTTAAATCGTCACTTCATTTCCCTATGTCTAGTAAACTCATCTACATGGCTCCGTCGACGGTGCCATTTAGGCTAGGCATACCCTCCTATAGTAAGCGTCAGAGGTTCCAGGTTCAAATCTGCCTGGTGGCAGTTACAAGAACACTTCCCTGGTATTTTCAAAATGGAAAGAGGATCTTGTGCACCCTTTGATTTTCAGCCAGTGTCTGTGAAAATCCCACCCATGGTTATAAATATCCTTGGAAGACTTGAAGCCTCACTTTTCATAGGGGCCTGATCTCAAGCCCTCTGAACTCAGTCAGAGTCATTCCATTCATCCAGTCTTTGAATAAGGCTGTTAGATCAGTGGTCACCAACCAGTAGATCATGATCTACCAGTTGATCTTGGAGCCTCTGACAGGTGATCCTGACTGGCTTGGCTAGGAAGCTATCAAACGCTGGCACTTCAGTTGCCCCTCCACCTACTGTCAAGCTGCTCCTGCCCTCAGCCTTGGAGCTGCCCCTTGGGCTGTGCAGGGTGTGGGAGGGAGAGGGGGGAGGGCTGATGTCAGTGTGTCCTTCCCCCCCCCCACTTCTGTGCCCCATCTCCACACAGAGAGAAGGGGATGGAAAGAGTTTGTCACTCAAACTCTGTCGCACTCAAACTCACACACTGTGTGTGTCTCTGTCAGTCATTCTCACAAACATACACTGTCCTTCCCTCTCATCTCCTGACCCAAAGGGTGGTTGTTACTACTTTTACTGCTTGCAAAGTGGAACGAGGAGTAACGGTAGTTCAGAATAGGAAGCCTAGTCCGAACTACCTAGTCCGTGCCGTGTGTAGCCGTGCGGCACAGAGTCCGCACTAGCGGACATTTAAAAATGGCGGCGCCCGGCAAGACGCAAATGAAGCCCAGGAAATTCAAATCCCGGGCTTCATTTGCAACTCCGGTTGCCTACATTACCACCCTAGTTCGAACTAGGGTGGGAGTGTAGACATACCCTCTCTCTCTCTCTCTCTCTCTCTCTCTCTCTCTCTCTCTCTCGGCCCTTCTCTCTTTCTCCTTCTTCTTTCAACCATTCCATTATTGTTGCTGTTTATTGTCTGAATTGCACTAGCAGGCAGGAGACTCTAAAGATTCAGCTAAGCACCTAGTGGGATTTACCAAAAAACCTAAGCAGGTTAGTGCCTAACTCCTGTTCAAAGCCAATGAGATTCAGGCATCTACATTATCGGGAAACTCTTTGGCAATCCCACTATATTCCTAGTACATCTTTAGGTACCTGAATGCCTTTGCTGTTCTGGCCCTCAGTCAGGACTGGGGCCCGATTGTGCTGTACGCTGCATATATACACAGGCTGGGGTGGGCAAATACCAGCCTGCAGGCCGGATCCAGTTCACCAGGGTTAGCCGCGGCAGGTGCTGTATTTACCTGAGCCTCCACAGGTGCAGGGGATCACAGCTCCTGTTGGCCAACAGGAACTGCAATAGCCCATACCTGCAGAAATGCAGATGAATATAGTGGCAGTGGCCAACCAGGAGTTAACCCAGATGAAATGCCACCATTTTATTGCCTATCCCTGACAAAGGCAGACACTGCCCCTACTCAAAATTGCTTACGGTCTAACTGACAACAAGGCCAGAGAGTGTAACAAACACTAGTAGAGTAGGGAGGAGGAAGAGGATGGGAGCTTTAATTTTCTCTCATCATTACCCTTCTCACATTCACTCATTCCTTTCTTCCGTTTCCTACCTTGCAGGTGGAGTTTGCTCTCAGTGCTTTGCAGAAGGACAGAACTCACAGAGTCCAGATTGTCGTAGCTGTTACAACCCAGGGGGCCAGTCCGAGTTTCAGTTACCTAGAGCAGGGGGCCCAAAAACAAAACATGCCATTTGTTTGCAGGATTTCCAAGGAGGTCCAGCCTCTGACATATCTCCATTAGCTGACAGACCCACCCTCACCAAAATACAACCTATATGATGTGGCTGAGCCAAATACTTCCAATGGACAGACAGAGCTGAGTAAGAAATGCAAACTTGAAAAAAGAACTACCTCCCTGACTCTGTCCAGGCACAAACTGTCCCTTTTTTATGGTATCACATGTGGCTCTTGGACTGGTGAAGGGAAGCTTGCAGGCTAAGCCACAGGGCATTTCTGTGGATTAGACTAGAAGCCAGGAGAGGTATTATCTGTCCCCAAAGGAAGATAGAAGGGATGGATTGAGATTCAGATATAGTGAGTGGTGGCTCCCAACCACTGTCACACACATACACACATACTATGGATAGACGGAGACACAGAAAATCCTCCGGCTGCTTGTAGCATGGCTGTTGTTATTGTTGGAATCTAGCCGGGGAGGAGACCTGCCCGTTCTCAATTCACAAAGGGCAATTATCTGCTGTCAGGGCTTCAATATCTCAATCCAGTTCCCCATCCTTGCGGGAATAGGCTGGGCTAGGAGTCACCACAGAACAATAACAACATCCAGAGCCTCTCAGAATGATGGCTTCATCCAGCCTGCCTTTCCTGCAGTGCATTTCCTGACAACTGAATCCCTCCCCAATAGAGGCTGAGCGCTTTCAAAGGAAGAAGCTGTTGTTTGTGGAGCCATTTTCCTTTCTTTTGTATTCTTCTCCCAGAAGCTTTCCCCCGCTTCCCCTCCAGCTCCCTATCTCTATCTGTTTCATTCCATTCTAGGAGCCTTTGTAAGGCCCCATTGTGGCCTTTTCTCATTCCCCTGTAATCAACTCACTGGAGAGCTTTTTCCATACAAAATGCACTACTACATGCTCTCAGGAAACATACCAGCGTGGCATGATGCTGTCTAATCCTGCCACTGCTGAACTGCTTGCCCATTTCCACTGTCACTGCTAACTTGCTCTGGTCAGGCCCTCCCCAATACCACTGCTACATGCCAATGGCCCTGATCTCCTTATTGTCTATTCCACACCAGGTGTCCCTATCCCAATATCAACGTTCCTGCTGGAATGAGCTGCGCCTGCCCAAAATGAGGGGCACGAAAGAATGACTTTTCCCATCGAACATCAGCACCTCAGGGCAATCGTTTGGTTTTTTTCTTGGGAAAAATGTCACGTTGGAACATCTGGTGCCCCTACCCATCAGCAATGGGAAGCATCACTGCTTAAAGGCCAAGTGCGGACCAGCATCACTACAGCTTTGGAATGGCTGTCTTTCCACACCCCAGTGCTCTCCCTGGAATCTCCATAGCAGCAGAAGCAATACCTTGATTGCTCCAGTAGAGATCTGGATCTCATGGAGTCTTCTCATGGTGCCATCACGATCTACAAAGTAGGAGGAAGCAAGCTGGTGTAGTGCCTCAACGCTTTGGGTAGCGTTTCCTGATTTCCTGTCAAGTCGGCTTTTGTCCATGTACATGGTCAAGGCCTCCTCCCCTGCAGTGAAAGAAAACAGATTGCCACCTTGGAAGGTCTGCAACTACCCCACTGGGCAGTGTGCACAGGAAACTGTGGTATCCCACACTGAACCTGTGCAGTCCAAACTCTGAGATCTCCCCTCCCTCAGAGATGCCTTGGTCAAAAAAGCCAGTTCCACTCTTCTGCGGATTCAGAATCTGCTGTAAGCAAGCATAGCTCCATTGAGCCCAATGGTCTGGATCCTCAGCTGCTGTAAAGTGGAATAACTTTACTAAAGTCAGTGAGATTATGCTGATTTACACCAACCGAGGATCTAGCCCATTATGTAGAACAACAACAAAATAGCCTGTCATTGTGGGAACACATTTGAATGATTTGCATGGGGCCAATATATAGACTTGGTGGGAGCAGATACAACTCTCATGGAGGTCTTTTATCTTAATTTAATGGCACAAATGATGGTTTAAATTACACTTAGTTTGTAAGTGAATGGGTGGTTCTAACAGGTAAACAAGTGGCATTTGTTCCGATGTGGCAGCCAGCAGCTATGCAAGTTGAGTCATTGAGAAGAATGGGGAATAGGAAGGAGATGAAAAGAAGGAAAAGAAGAGAAGTTGCATAAATGACCAGTCTGCTCTTCCTGGAGAGCACAGCTGAAGAGTGTTGTGCGGGTACAAGAGCAAAGGAAAAGGTGTTGAACAGAAGAGTGTATATAAATCAGGCCAGGTATGAATGCTTCCCTGGAAATGACGAAGAATAAGGAACTAAGGGCACCAAGGGCACCAAACATAACTGAACAACAGCAACATTGTAACTGAAAAGAAAGATAAGAAAAGATAAAACAAACTTTACACCTCAGTTTATTTAAAAATTTTTTATTAATGATGCATGACTCAAAATAGAATCCAGCTGATTTTCTCTGAGCTACGCTACCTCTGCAAGGAATAAGAGGCAAAACAACATATTTTACTCACTAAGGTCAGGAAATCAAATTCTGAATATGCACATGGGCAGAAGGTGCCATTTTTACATAGCTAGCTTTAAGGGAGGAATCAAAGTGTCATTAGGATGGAAGTAAGTAGCACCTGCTGTAATCCAACCTATGTATCCAACAGATAAATTAATATTTATACTACTGCTGATAATCATATATATAGTAGCCTAGTGTCTGAGAGTCTGTAATGCAGAAATGCTGGATGTTCCCTCTGGGGGGGCGCTGTTGCCTGAAATGATGGCTGTTCCCTTTGGGAGAACCGTGCTGCATGGGAAGTGCGGGGGCCCAAACAGCTGCTTGCGCCACTTGCTCCCCCGCTGTGTCCCGGCTGAGTGGTGCAGAAGTCAGCCTAGCGCCATGGCGGAACGGGAAGGGGCAGTGACGTACATGCCCTGGGGATGGGGCCTGGCCATGTACGTCACCGCCTCGCCCCCCCCCCTCCCCTC